CGTCCACCCCCCATCTGTCCCGGCCTCTCCTTCTGCTTTTTGGACGAGGCGCCCTCCCTCTTTATGATGTCACTGAGAAGTACGTTGTGTGTTTTTTTATGTTGTTTGTGTGTAAAGGGGTGTGAGTCTGTGTGAGTCAGAGGGCGGGAGGTGTGCATTAAAGCGTGAGTGAGACGGAGAGACGGAGAGATAGAGGGAATAGACGGGCGGAGGGAGAGAAAGGCACGAGTGTTAGGTTTCCCTCTTCAATTCAGAGGCTCAACTCCTGGTTTTTAATCTAGAAAAGAGGGTGAAAAGAGCAGGAAAGGGGAGAAGATGGGAGGGAATCTGAGCTACTGACAGCTGGTTTTGTCCCTCTTTCTTTCTCTCTTTAGTGTGTCATAGCTGGGTACTCCATGTGTAACAGAGTATTTTACACAGTTATTTTAATTGTATTTGTTTTCTATATATATTTGTATTTGTTTTCTATTTTTGCATAATAATAATAATAATAATAATAATAGTACATAATAATAATACATAATAGTCAGACTTTGAGGCAGTTTAACAGTTAAAATGGCCAAACGTAGGTTTTATAGATTTATTTGCCTGTTTTGTGTTTTTCCAGCGTATGTTTCCCTCCTAAAATTACCCAGAAAGTTGCTTCATCTCAACTTTCATGTGGTTTTCAGCTTTCGATCAATCTCATTCATTTGAACTGTGTTTGAAACAGGACTTGAAATGTGTGAAATTGCCCTTATGCAAACTGAACCCATCAGAGCTTGCTCGTTTTCTCATTTCAAAACTTCCCCAGTGTTTAGAAATGAGCTGCACAGCCACACCCAGCAAGTAGTCAGGCCCCATCCTCTGATGTTTCTCATGAAGCCTCTCCTCTGGTGTCCAAGTGTCTCCAAAAGGAGTGAAGCTGAGGGCAGATTGACTGTATTCAAAGTTAAAGAAAAATTTCGTTTTGTTCCTGTCAAGAAGGTGGATCTTGGAGGGAGGACGCGGAGATTCAGAAAACAGGGTTTATTGCAATACAAAAAGATGCACTCAAAGAGTGGATGTCAGGACAGGGTTAAAAAAACAGGGCTGTGGCAAAACTGTGAGCAAAGTAACAAAGCAAGATAAACATGGCTGTGGAAAAAGTATCAAAACAAGACTATGGTTAAAACAAGGTTATCAAGACTGTGGCAAAACAAGGCTGTGACAAAAACTATGCTCAAAGTAGCAAAGCAAAGTCAACAAGGCTGTGAAGAAACATGGCTATGGAACAAAAACGAGACTATGGCATGGGGCAAAAAGCAAAACCTTACGTGACATGGGGCTTTGTTCAGGTTTTTTAAAACATTTTTATGAATTATGTTTATTAGGTATTTTTGAACATTTATACAAAAACAGAAAGGGGAATTACAAAAAGAGGGCAAAACTTAAACAGCACTGATACAGAAAACAAGAGAAAATCAAAATTGGAGGCATGTACAGTGGGGGAAATAAGTATATGACCCCTTGCTGATTTTGCAGGTTCGCCCACTTACAAAGAATGCTTATTTTTCCTCATCAGATGGTTATCAATTTTTATAAATTCATATGATGTGATTTTCTGGAATTTTCTTTGGGATTCTGTCTTTCACTGTTAGAATGTACATATGATTAAAGTTATAGATCGTTGCATTCTTTGTAAGTGGGCAAACCTGCAAAATCAGCAAGGGCTCAAATACTTATTTCCCCCACTGTACATTAATTACAGCGTCATGTGAGAAACATAACCAATTTATACATACACGTCATTCAGATTCACATTAATGGTTTTTCATTTTTGAAATTTTGAAGTGTTCAAGAATACGTTCCCATCTTTTTTTAAAAGCATAAAATTTCCCATTCATACAATATCTCAATCTTTATAGTACAATAACTTCAGAAAGAAAAAAATGTCATAGCTGGATCAACGGGGCATCAGAACCAACCCATTTAAGCATTATTGATTTTCTGGTCAACATCAATAGAATTTGCACAATTTCTTTGTGAGCATCCAGATGACCCAAGGAGACACGTGATTGGACGAGGGAGAAGTGTTTGTCCTATAGCTGAGCTAATTTCTTGACATACTGCATGCCAAAATGCCTCTATAATTTTACACTCCCATAAACAGTGAATTCTAGTAATTCTGTAATTGTTTTACATTTAGGACACTTTGTTCAGGTTTTAAATTTTGCCCCACTGTGAGTTTAACACTCCTGGTTTATGCTGTCAGTAAAAAGGTGTTTGACAAGTTAGAAAACTGCACCTGTAGACATCCCCGAGTTTCTCGATGTGCAAAAACACACATGATGGGTTATCCTGTGGGGAATAGCTGGTTCACACAAGTTTCCATGTGATTGTTAACCCGATTCTTTAGTTGGAAACCTGAGATTAAACCAGAGTAGACCAAAAATATAAATCCTAACATGATTTTCTGAAGTATATTTTCGCAGTTCCTCATCAAAACTTCATCTGCATATCGTTTCCGTGCTGATGAACTTCACAGGGCCATTAAATATAATAAAGTCTTTGCTCGTTTGCATATTTGCCGGCATCTCTCTCTCCTGTAGAGGAACTGAATACCAAGTGGCCGTTTCATCTGACCGGCCTTCCCCACAGGATAACTTATCATGTCTCCCTATCAGCATTCACTGTGTGTGGACAGAATTAGAAAAAAAAACACATCCTGAATCACAGACTCTGCATGCACGGCTCAAAAAGATTTGTTATGCAAATTATGACGATAGGATTCGGCTATAATTACTCACTTTAGCATCGTATGCTATCACATGATGTGTGTAAATTACTGATTGTTTTATTGTCTTTTATAACTATATTTTGTGTTACAGTCTCTGGCTGTGTCCACAGACTCTCTTTTCTCTCTTTTTCTTTCTCTCCTTTTCTTTCTCTGTTGCATTAGATCCACCTTTAACCCTTTAAAGCCTGATCAAAGAACAATAGGAAGAATATTGGATTTTTTTAGTCTGAAGTCTTTCTTGGGCCCCTCAACAACATATGAAGAAAAAAAACTGAAATTATTTTGATCAAATTAGCGTGCAATAAGTCAAAAATATATGTTGGTGTAGTCTTCTACTGGCTGTTATCAGGTATATCTGAATGTGTACAACAGGGGTTTGAGCAAAGCTTTTACCACTGAATGATGCAGAAAGTCTCAGATCCAAAAGACTTCAGAAACCGTATGAATCAGATATGACACATTTGGCATTATAGGGTTA